TCGGTGACAGCTCCATCTCTAAGCAGCCTGCGTTTCATGCTATTCCACGATTTGGCTATCGTCGCACTCCTCGAAGCATACAACCATCTTCTACAAATGAACATCAACCTCAAACTTATACCTGGACTATCCTTGACTTTCAAGGAAAAATTTTAAATACCACCACTAACTATACTCGATGGCCATGGTTTCCTCCGCTTTTCATGGATTTTGCTGAAATGGGAACAGGAGTCGAAAAATTCGCAGACAAAAAATTGCAAGCTGATACATGGGACAAGCAAGGCTCCTGCTCTCCAGCACCTGCTGACAACTATAGACTATATTTTTGCCCTGCCCACAGTACTGGCACTTCTCGTTCCGCCTGCGGTGGGGTAGTTGACAGATATTGTAAAAAATGGAGTTGTGTATCCACAGGTCATATCTGGTGGGAAGCACCTACCAAAAATGACTATATTCATATTACCCGTGCCCAAGCACAGCATTCCTGCTCTTCATGACCTTGTTGCGGACAGAGAATGAATCCACTCATAATCACCTTTACTGCACAAGGAAAGACACTTGCAAAAAAACAATGGATGGTTGGGTTTACTTGGGGAGGGCGTCAGTGGGATGGTCAAGGAGATGAAGGGAATGTTTTTACAATTCGCCTCTCGATATCCATGTCCACTTACGATGTTGGTCCCAATCCCAATTTGAAATCAAACTTTCTACAAAAACCCAATATCCAGGTGAATCCATTAGTACAGTTGGTCAATTCTTCTTTCACATTGCTAGCAACTACACTTAATGATTCATCCAAAACTGATCAATGTTGGCTTTGCTTATCTGATTTGCCACCATTCTACGATGCAGTAGCTTCCAATGAACCCATTAGTAACTCCACCAGTGACACACGATGTCGATGGAACACTTCCTCCATCACTATCACTGACATAATAGGTCAAGGATGTTGCCTAGGACACATACCTGCTAATTACTCCCAATATTGTCAGAATGTTTCATCTGGGTATCACTGTAATGTATATCTACCAAAAGAAAGATCAAACCTTAACATTGGAGGCTACGGTCCCCTGTACACCACCTCCAATGGCAATATCAAGGCTCGCCTCAAGGGACAATTCTTTATCCCAGGTAATAATTCTGTATGGGCCTGTTCCACTGGAGCCACCGCTTGTGCTCATGGTGATGTTCTTATTGCTCAGGGATCCTTTTGCATTCAGGTAAAATTACTCCCAAAGATCACTTTTTATCCAGGGTCGGAACTTGTTAATGAACTTGAACCTCCACAATTCCCCCTTCGTCAGAAACGAGAAGTCATAACAGCTGTAACACTATCTGTATTGCTGGGTCTTGGAGCCGCTGGTGCAGCCACTGGAGTAGCGGCTCTAGCTGTTGGTCATCAACAGTTAGCAACCCTCAGTTTACAAATAGATGAAGATCTCAAACGCATAGAGACTTCAATTTCTGCTCTTCAAACTTCTCTCTCATCTCTAGCTGAAGTGACTCTTCAGAACAGAAGAGGTCTAGATTTGTTATTTCTAAACAAAGGGGGATTATGTGTAGCAATAAAGGAAGAATGTTGTTTTTATGCTGATCATTCAGGAATTGTCAAAGATTCCATGGCTGAATTACGTAAACGTTTGAAGGATAGAGAGAATGAACGACAACAAGGTCAGCCATGGTATCAAGGCATGTTTAATTTTTCTCCCTGGTTAACCACTCTATTGTCTGCTCTAATAGGTCCTCTTGTGCTATTGCTTCTTGCCTGTGCTATTGGTCCATGTGTATTAGGACGTTTAGTTACCTTTTTGAGGGATAGTTTGAATACCCTTGATAATGAAGTTAACAATACTCAAAAATCGGTTAGCTTTCTCACATCTATCATTGCATCGAAAGATCTTGCCAAAAAACCCTTGCTGGAATGGTCCTCTGACCTAGAGTCAGAGGAGGAAATAGACACTATTAACTCCTTTTCTCCCAAAGAAGTTTTGTTAACTCTGCCCAGCCACGATTCGGGGGATGAGGACTTTTCCTCGTATGAGTTGGTTCTGCAAGGCATCAACAAACCGAAGGGTTTGTTGCCACCTTATGGGACTACTCGAGAGGAGAAAGGACTCTACCTAGAATCATGAGCACAAAAATAAAGAAAAGGAGGAATTGTGGCTATCCTGCTTTAGCTATTTTGCCATAGAACAAATCTTGCCTAGCACGTACACCACTCAGGGCAAATTCCACTGAACTGACAGGATTAACTACAAAAGTCTGTGTCAGCTAGAAACTGTGTATTTGGTATTAAGACATGTTTACCTGAAAAGTATCAGTCATGAAGTTTGCTCCTTGTGTCACGTAGCTTGGTTTCAATGATTAACTCTGTAACTTCATTGTTTCCTGCAATCACCCCGCACCCCCGTCTGAATCAGCACAATAAAAGAGGACAGCGCAAAGCAATCGGGGCCGCCGGGACAATTCCATCTGCCCCAGGCGCAATGTGTTTCCTCACCTAAAGAAACTATTTGTTTTGTGTCTTTTTCTTTGTGCTTTGGCACTCACCCTTGCGAGGGCTCCGCTAAATTATTTCTTGAAGGGAATTCAGCAACAGACTGGAAAATCGAATCAACGGACTGGTCGCTCGACGCGACATTTGACCTCCCCTCCCTTTTAGCTATCTCTAACTTGATTGATTTGGGCAGGAAGGAGAAGGTGCTGAAGTGGATTGCAGGCACATTAAAGTCCTTAGTGGCTTTTCTGCCAGTAGTGTTCCTATACTGTATCTCAAAGCCATTAATTTCTGCCTTTACACTATCTACAGTATAGTGAAGATGGTTGATTTTCTATGTTGATCTTTCAATATTAGGTGGAGCAACAGATGTAACTGCAGGGAGTAAGAGTGCCTTCTTGATTTTCTTTGGTCAATAGGATTAGGCTACAACACCATTTGAACTTCTACTTATTTGCCTGCATCATATAACAGGAAAAAATAAATAATAGCAGGAAAAAACACAGGAAATAAAACACTCAAGAAATTCAAATTTCTTTATATTACTGTCTATTGCTTATAGAATAGCAAAATAGCAGAGTTGGAAGGGACCTTGGAGGTCTTCTAGCCCAAGCCCCTGTTCAGGCAAGAAACTCTAATAATGGTTGTCCAATTTCTTCCTATAAAACCTTCCAGTGTTGGAGCATTCACAACTTCTGGAGCAAGTTGTTCCACTGATTAATTGTTCTAACTGTCAGGAAATTTCTCCTTAGTTCTAGCTTGCTTCTCTCCTTCATTAGTTTCTATCCATTGCTTCCTGTCCTGCCTTCTGGTGCTTTGGAAAATAAGTTGAAACCCACCCATCCCCCTTTGTGTTGTCTCAAAAGCTCCTTGATAGTGTTGATCTCTTATAAATAATAAAGAATTATCTCAGTGAACATAAAGCTGTAGAATAATGTTAGCAAGAACATTCTGCAAAGCCACTCAATTTATCTGTTTAACATTAGAAGAGATGTTTCTTCAGGTCAAACTGCCCTTATTGTCTTTTCCCCTTGAATTTGTAAATACTTCTAGGTTATGAAGCAACATAGGATGCTTATGAATTTTGACTATATTATGCTGGCTCAAATATTCAAGGAATTATTTCTCAAAAAGATTGACTTCATGATTGACTTTGCCCTGATGCCTTCATACTTTCCACAAGAACTTTAAATTGAGGGAAAGTATTTTATCACATTGTCATTAAAAAAATCAGATATGGAATATCATTTTAAATCAGAGAATGGAATGTATTCTGAGTAAACAAATGAGATTGGCACTGTAAACTAGAAATGGATATTCTCCAAATTAATGGGTTCCCACTGTTTTCATATAACTTGTAAGATAATTCACATGCATTTCTTGTTAATTTGTATAGGTATCTCTTAGTCAGACAGTATGTATCCCCTATGGAAATTATAAATGACATGTCTTATTACATAAATCTCTACATAGGTTTAATAGCAGGTAATAAATACAAAAGAAAATTACATTTACATTATTTTAAATATATATAGTTTGTCCAAATGTTAGATTGCTAAATCGTGAGACAGGTTCCACGTGAAGTCATTTCCACCCAAGATATAGCCACTATAGCATGAGCATGACTATAATAAGGACAAAAAATACATTTGCACATTTTGTAATATTTGGAATAAGACTGAAATTGTAGGAGAAGGGATAGTAGAACCCGGGGGTTGAGTGAAAAAAGGGGTCGGCATAGAGTCCCTATGTAGACACAAGAGAATTAAGTCCAATTCCCCTTGAGTGCTGTTGACCCATATCTAATTCTAAGCAAGATGCTGACCATTAGTTAAGATTCCTGTACAGAGAGTTTTAGCAGTAAATCAATTTAATTGAACCTTCATGTATGGACCTAGTCTTTTGCACCTGACAGAAATTTTTTAGAAATGTACAGTATGTGTTATTATGGATTCCATTGTTACACCACTTACATTGAAAAAATGAAGTACAATATTGCCAACATTCTAAGCAGAACCAAAGATAACAGAAAATACTTGTGGGAAGAGGGAATAATAAGTAAAAATGTCAATATCGATAAATCTCCAATGTCAATATCACCACATCCTGCCAGAGACTGCTTCCATGAGCAACAAATGATGGTGACTGTTGGAAAAATAAGTTAAGACATGAAGAATAAGTGAATTGCTTGAATTCTTTACTACAGTACTGAAGAACCTGTGAACATCTAGGTCTTAATAATAATTCTGATTATCCTAAAACCATTAGCTATAATGGCTGGGACTGGGGCTAATGATCATCTATCCCTAAATTAACCCTAATTGTCAGTTCAGTAAAAAAAAAATCTAATAAAAATTCTAAGCTGCAAACAAGAATTTTGCTCTTTTTCAATCATAATGGCTTATTTATCACATTTATATGGCCATCCACACCCCCAAGAAGAGACAGGATGACATACACCTTTATTCTTTATACTTTATACAATCTTTCTTAGAATATTGTATCATTTGGACCTGTTCATCTGGATTTGTTTTGATGGTTGCATAGTAGTAGCTCTTTTGGTTTGTGGGATATTGATGGTAAAGACCTCTGGTGATCTCATTCTTTCAAAACAATAACATTCAACTTTTTCCTCAGCTGAAACGGTCCTAGAACTTAGTAAACGAAATCCATCTTTGAGTAAGATATCAATCAGTAGTCCAAGAACATTAGCTCCATTAAACAGCTTCCTCTTATCAGGTTTTATAGAAACGTATCTGTGCAAGGAAAAGAGATAAATATGGTAGTATTAATTTATTATGCATTTTCTTTCTTTTTTTAAAGTTTTATTGTTTTTTAAGACAAACATAGACAAACACAACTTAAAAACATCAAGCCATCTTCCATATATATACATACAGTGTGTCGATTGGTTTACAAATTGTTTTGTGCTTCCACTTCGTAGTCTTCAATTACAATTACATTGTATATGTTCTCATATTGTCAATCAAATATTCCTAAATACATTAATCATTGTTAATCAATCATTTGACGATACTATTATTCATTCATGATTCACAAGATAATCCATATTTTACTTAATTTATTTTATGACAGTTCATATTATCATCTCAAATCTATCCTATAATCATTTTGTAGATATGTATTATGCATTTTCAATGCATTTTTTATTAAATGTTTAAACAGTGCAATTTATCAAGCCCAGGTCGGCAGCATCTACTTGACCTTGGCTAGTATTGAAAAATTAAGCAAGGTGAGATTCTTTTGATCAGATCTCTAAGAAATCCCAAGTCTGTAGTCTGGAAATTTGGGGGGAGGGCAGAATTTGCAAAACACATTGCCAGATCTATATTGCCAAAATAATATATGCCATGAGTTCAAGCTAAGCTGAAATAGACTTTATTTTTAAAGATTGACAGAAGATTTAAGTGCACTAATAGACAAGTTAACAATGTCCTGAATTAATAAAAAAATTTTTGGAGATTGTGAAAGGGGCATGATTTTGCTGATTTTCTGAAAAGCAAGTGCCAGAGGTCCTTCCATAAAATGTTTTATATTATAATCACTGACACTTTTTTCTAAAATGTTATAGTTCAAGTTGAAGGCTCACAAGTTTCATTTTCCATTTGAAATGATCCTGGGGTTTACTACTGCTTTTCTGTACATAAAAGAAATAACTTTAAAAAGTCTAAAAATTTGAATAGCCGAACAATAATCTTAGAAAGCAGAACCAGCTTGATTTACATTTTTATATTATTTCTCTTAATTGGATGATATGTACAAAACCCATTATTTACTTCAGCAAGTGTTTTAGAACAGGAAAAGTTCTACTACCTTGCATTAAGACCTCTAGCCATAGTGACCTTACAGGAGATCAGTGTTTATGATCTCAATGATAATATAGTCAAAAAGAAATACCAATGGATCTAATGGCATTTCATCTATCAGAGATGGGGAATTTGCAAACCTAGAGTCTCCAGCTCCTAATTTCGAAACCCTCATTCAAAACACGCTATATCTCTAGTAAGTCATACGTCCTCCTGTAGAGCCTGCTTACGAGAGATAACATTCCCATTTACTTTTGGCTGCAAACTTATGCCGTTTGCCTCAACATTCCCTATCATACATATACCCCATCCAAATGCAGCTTTTGATAAATTCTGCTGTGGCAGAACTATTTAATTCCTTTTTGCTATATTATCTATCTGCAGGACAACCTTATTATATGTGACAAAGTTTATTTTTTCTTTCACATTATTTCTTTAAGAAAAGCTTCTTTAAAGTTGATTTAGCAAGTAGTTGGTTTATTAAGTTATTTTGTAGTTATTACTCAGAATGCTAAACAAATTTATTTTTTTGCTTACCTGCTCATATGAGTGGAAGGGCAAAACAGTGATAACTGTGCTAATATCAAATTTCTTCACAGGAATATAAGAATCTTGGTTTACTATTATGTCAGTGTTATTAGAGAAGTAAAGAACATTAGCTAATGTACTTAACTTCACAACACGGTCAATATCATAATCATATAAAAACATTTTGCATATTTTTGAAATAGGAAAAAAATAATGGAAATAAATTCTCTCACACACAAATATGTGCAAAACTTCTTTTTCACATCTAGGATTAAGTTCGTACTCTTTCTTCTCCTTCTGCTCCTAACAAGGATCACCCTCAAGACTGTGTTATCAGAAACTTTTTGCCCCTTTTCTCTATCTCTAGAAGCATACTGATTCTTCCACTGTTACACTGACTTCACAAACACAGGTAAGGCTTCTCTGTGATGTAGCATTAGGGGCCACATCACAGAGAAGAGATAAGCAAATAATTTATCTCTTCGGAATGAGTTGCCATCTTCTCAGTTGTTAAGGAGAACAAGAGCTGATAAGAAACATTTGTCCTTGGCCTTAAGTTCCAGTATCATATTAGAAGACCTCTTCTACTTTTGGAGAACTTCACGTGGGTGCAAATTTTGGTTTGATTTATCCTACCTCTGAGTTTACTTGATTTGAAAATGATTTTTATACCCTGGGTAAGATTCCATTGCCTTTTTGTCCAGTGTGATTGGCAATAAACTCTGAACTCTTCTGACATCATTTTTGTTTCCAATTCTGAGAACAAAGGTATTCTTACTGACAGATCCTTGGTTTTGAATTTTTTCCCAGCTGGCTTTAGGATTTCATGATGATACCAGGAGATAGGAACATTTTAGTTATATATAAAGAAGTATTATTCAACCTGCTAATTTTAACCTACTTTGGGATGGGTAATTTTGTTGGTTTATGTTATATTCTTCAATGTAAATAATAACTTCTTTCAAGCTCTTTATGATTTTTTGCCATCATGTTATACAGTACTGTATTCTCTCATGTTCATGAAGTGAAGTTTGTAATATAAGAGTGGCAGCCCAGCTTTCACTCATTTAACCTAGAGCAGTATCTAAGTTATCAACAACTAAGTTTAAGTTCAGATACTTATAATAACTACTTCTATGTAATGTCCCATAGATGTTTTTTCAAAAGGCAACTGGATTTTCTGTTTTTCTTTGAAGATGTTTGGCTTCTCATCCAAGAAGCTTCTTTAGCTCTGACTGGATGGTGGGGAATTGAAAGAGCTGAAGAAGCTTCTTGGATGAGAAGTGAAACATCTTCAAAGAAAAACCAGAAACTCCAGTTGCCTCTTGAAAAAGCACCTTTGGGACAAACAAGACCTGGATGACTGAGAATCTCCATAGACATACTTCTCCATAACTCTACCTGTTCCACTGAGAACCAAGAACCTATAAAATATTTCTATGGTGACACACAGAAATAATTTCAAAAATACCTTGCAACAGATTGATCGCTATAGATGATGCCACACTGGAAGACAAGATCATGATGAGAAGGTCTTTCCAAAGAAAGGGGAGACAGTGACTTCTGAGAAGGGACATGATGACTTTTCCAGCTCATTCCTACAAAATTTTCTGCAAAGGTTGTGATCCGGTCAGCCAGCTCATCAATAGTAATGCTGCAGGAACCAAATATGCGGAAAAAACCCTGCATTTCCTGGAGCAAGAATCGTATTTCTAAGATCTCTGGTTTTGGTTTCAGCAAATTTTCCTGATGTAGGAGATCAGCCACAGAATAAAGTTCATAGAAGTCAGCTTCTCTCTGCAACCTCTTGTAGTCTGAGAAGTCACTAGGCAAGGCAAGCTGGAGCGTTCTTAAGCTATCCAAAATGTAGCCAAACAGAACTCCATCACGGTCCACAAAATATTGACCATTTAGCAATTTAAATTCAGGGTCATTGCCATTCAACATTCTTGCCAATCTTGACTCAGGGAATTTTTGCAGTGTAGAAAGCCTTGTGGTAAATTTAAACCCACCTACATTTAAAACTATTACATCCTGATTACTCATCCTCTTCTTCACGGGAAAATTGAGTTGGCAGTAGATATATTCCAATATTATACAAAGCTATGCAAAATACAACCACCCTAAATCAATTTCTCCTTATGCTTACAGTAGAACTTCACAAGCATAGGATTGCCCAGCAACAAGAACAACATATGTACACATTGCATTGTTTATAGGATTGGTCTCCCGGGCACTTTGTAACTAAACTGTTTAAAATTAAGACAGCAGAAGACTCATAACTGGTATTTCAGGAAGTTGCTAGAGATTTGCCCGTCTACAATATTTATTTCCCCCCTGAAAAAAAAAGGTAGTTATTTGGGTGTAACTTGGTGTAATGGTTAAGGGTAAAAACTGGAAGATAATTAGAACTAAGTCGTGCCTTAGGCACAAAACCAGCTGGGTGATCTTGGGCCAGTCACTCTCGCTCAGCTCTAGGAAAAAGGCAATGGCAAACTACTTCTAAAATCTTTCCAGGAAAGCTGCAGAGGCTTGTCTAGGTGGGCATCAAGAACCAACACTGACCTGAAGACATGGGGTGGGGGGAAGTGATGGAAAATTCAACCTTAATCTATACTGCTGCCCACAGTCCAGATACCTCATGACTGTGGAGATGTTTAAAAATGTGTTTATTTGCTGAATTTCTGGATCCTTTCCTGATTACTTTCCAACCCAAGTAATCTTATTCTTGTTACTCGACAAGAATCACAATTCTATACATTGCTGGTCTCAGGTTAAAAGCAAATGATAATGCTTTTAAAATTCAGAACTGGAATTTTATAATATAGCAATAGCGATTGCATTTTAATCTATCTAAACAATACTACTTTGTTTCTTGAACCTGGTAGCTATTTGTTATCCATCAAGGCAAAGATTTGACTTGGAAGTTCAATTCAGATCCAATGATTCAACTTGAATTCTAAACTGAAATTGATTTGCCAAAGGATACATTATTAAATGTAAAAAATAATTTGGCAATGTGTATTTTGACTACAGTATAGTGTTACAGCATACAGACTCATCTTGGTGCACACTCTGTATTTGGGCACAATCCTTTTCCTAGCTAGTTTAGGGAGCAATATATTATTGTGGTTAGGATGTTAACATCTAATTGAGATTTTCATATTCCACTGAGCCATAAAGCTCTTTAACAGAGGCTCAGACCTCTGAATTATCTACTTTATTGTAAAAGAAAAAAATAGTTGCAATCTACTTTGTTGTTAAAAGAAAAAAAAGGTAGCTAAATATATTGAGGAACAGTGTAAGAGATTTCATTAATGTCCCAATTTTTTTTTAATAAAAGGGTTCATTAGACACTCTTTCACTGAAGCACAAACTGTTTATTACAGTAACAGAAGAAGTAAATAAAACCTAAACAGGGTAGTATGCAACATACAATATAGTGGTATGCAAATTAAAATATACATATTATTCAATAACCTTAAAGTATCTGGATCCAGCAACACATGTATTTATAGTGAGTTATCAACAAATGTTAATATGTCAATGAAGATGCTTAGCCATCCAGGTAGAGTTTTCTGGAATCTGAGACATGACAATTGGATTTCTTTTCTTGTTGGTTTGAACCAACAAGAAAAGAAGTTCACATGCCATCATTCAACTTCCAGACAATGAAAATGGTACTACAATAAAAAGAATATGGTGCACTGAGAAGGTCCACTCTTTACAGTAGTTATTTGCTGGTGCATTATTTTCTTACATTATCTTCTAATGGTCTTGCTTAGTTTTCTTTTTGTAGTTTAATTAACATTCTACATGTAATTTTACTCAATGGTATTCCAAGTTTTTTAACCATATTAGTGCACCAAATCCTACTATGGTGTTGCAAATATCTAAACTTTAGTTTATTTTTTCATTAGTTATGACTCAAGAAGATTGGTATTTAAATGTCTATGGCAGGGGTGTCAAACTCACATGGTCATGGACTTCCGGTTTGCAGGGCTTCGGTGCCAGGCAGGAATCCACGATCGTGCGGGGTTTCTGCCTGGGCTCGTCGCTGGAGCGCCCCGAGCCAGCTGGCTTCGGGGCTAAGCCACCCCGTAGAGGTGGTGAAGAGGGGGGAGATCGCCAGCAGGGTTGAGGAGAGCCGCATCTCTCCTCCTCAGCTGGTCAAACTCCCTTTCCCAAAGGCGGTACTAGCGGTGGTCAGAAATGGCCACCTCAAAGAAGCACTCAACCGGAAAAGAAAGTGCAGGAGGAAGGTAAGAAGTGAAAGTTTTGGCTGACCAGGATAAAAAGTAACAACTAAGGTACCCTGGAATTTAAATTTTATAAAAGATAACATCACTCCCAAAGAAGAGTCGGAAGCAGCGAAAGAAAGTGAAAAGGGAAAGGTTTTTTTTCCTACACTCTCCTTCCTCACATTGACAATGAAAAGAGCTGAATAAGAAATCGGAAAAATCTGCTTTGGCACTAATAGGTAATTAAGCTGAAAATATAATTAAATGCCAAAGAGACAATAAAGATTTCTGAACACTAAAAGATCCTTTTTTTCTATAAGGAGGAAGGGAGAGGAAAAGAATAAGGGCAGGATTTGGAAGGAGGAGACTGCCTGGAATTCAAAAGAATCTAAAGTAAAATCTCAATAAGACTTCTTAAAGATACATTTTAACTGGAACTTTGGAACTAAATAGTAACCCCAGGAAGAGAAAGTGAAGAAAGAAGAAAGTGTAAAAAGAAACAGCTTGTGTGTATTTGGATTGCTTGGTGACTTTGGGATTTTTGGATATTATATTTGAATGACTAAAAACAATTGGGTGGCTGTTTAAAAAATTCTACAATGGCATCACTTCTGGATGAACTGAAAATGGAATTTAAAAAATATAAAAAAGAAACACAAAAATGGAAGGGCTTCTTTGGCTCCGTTTTTCAATTCTTAGAAATGGCGATCGGCACCTACGAGAAACAAGAAAAGACTGTGCAACTAGAAGATTGGGACAAAGAAGAAGCCATCTTTAATGAACAAGTAATTCTATTTGGAGAAGAAAGGGGAAAGGGGGGAAAGAGAATGGAGAATTTAAGACTTAAAAAAACAGCCAAAAAAGGGAAAAATAATTTGAAAAGTGGATATAAAGTTGGAAAGCAACAGAAAAGGGGAATACAGAAGAGGGAAATGGAGGTGGAGAGACAGGGGGGTAAAAAGGGGAGAGAGAAGAAGAAAGGGAAGAAGGAAAGGAAGAGAAGTTACAAAGGTTTGGAGCAAGATGTAAAGAAACAGGACTTATTCAGAGATAATGGGTGAAAATTTAACTGAAAAAGGGATTCTGTGAAGGTACATAAGATTGTATTGTTATATTTGTAATAGAAATAATGTTAGAAAATTGGAAACAACGTATGATTAAAAAGTGGGATAAAATAGTCAGTGTAATTTAGTGAAACTTTTGTGAACAAAATAAATGAAATAAAATAAATGAGAGAATTGAATTAGGAAGGAAAGGGAACATTTTAATTACTCAATGTTTTATAAAATATAAGCGAAGTGGGGGGGAATTAACTATGGAAAGTTTATAAGTGTTCCCATAGAAGTATGATACTTATCTGAAAAGTAATGTGTAAAACGTTAAGATTTAAATGAATATTAATATTAATGATAGAATTGAATTAGTATGGATTGTTGTTTTAATTACATTATACATTTATAATTTTTTCTTTTTTAAAAATACAGTGTGTAGTTTTAGAATGTACCAAGCAGAATCCGAACGGAAGTTATGTATTATATTAAGTGTTATAATTTTAGGGGAAAGATATAAAGGCGTCATGCTCCAATCAGGGATTACAGGAGAAATTTTGTTTAATGAGAAAAGATAATAGACAGATGAAACAGGACAGACAAAGAATATAAGTATGATGATTCGAATTGAGATGAAATAAATAAAATCAAATCAAGAAAATTGAAAGAGGGGAGAAGTTATATAGAAAATGTAGAATAGTAATAAGATATGGAATGGAATATAAAAATGAGCATGAACTTGAATTTGTGTCTGTACGAAGTGATGTAACCCGGGATTATGCTGCTTTCAAAAAAGATGTTTTATGTTTTTATGTTTTGTTTGTTTATAAAAATCAATAAAATTTTCAAAAAAAAATACCTCACGTGGTCACAGCGGCGTCACGTGACGTATGGGGACTTTTACCCCTTTTGCTAAACCGGCTGTGGCCAGCACATGACGCATCTGGACCCATGGAGATTTTCAGTCATCTAGGTCATGGCTGTCCCAAAGGTAAAGAGTGCAAATGACCAGCTGTCTGCAAGGAGTATAAATCCTTCCATTCCCCACCAGCCAGTCGGAGCTGAAGAAGCTTCTTGTATGAGAAGTGAAACATCTTCAAAGAAAAACAGACAGTCCAGTTGCCTTGTGAAAAAGCACCTTTGGGATTAGTATTTAAGTATTGACTTTGATTGGATTCATGCATAGGAAGCAATAACATTTATGATTATGGTTTGTGTGAAATTATCCATTTTGACAAGATTGTATGAATCCATCCAGATTTGTTTATTCAAACAAATCTAACTAGTTTTAAACAAATCTAACTTGTGATACATGATCCATAGGACAGTTACATTCTTAATAAATGGGGTCACAGATATCACTGCCAAATCACCATCACATCCATTTTTAATCATGTTTATCTTAGAAGACATTTTAAATTGAAGTAAGGCCAGCTTGCACAATAAAATAGCATAACTGTAACCGGTCCATTTTTTCTATTATCACTTTGGTTCTGTAAAGCTTTTTCCCCCCTCTTCAATTACTTTCTTGTTTATACGTACACATTATACTTGGATTTGCATCCAATGGTGCTTTTCTAGTGAATAAAAGAAAATGATTTAGGGATTTTTTTTTTCAGAAAAACACCCTTCAAAACAGCATAAATCAATCAATCAATATTTATTTGGTCAACAACAAGAAAAATGTAAAAACAAGGTGAAACCAATAAATACAATAATATACTTAACAGAATAAATCACAGGGCATTCTTTATTA